TAGTTGTATGTCATAGTTGCACATCCTTCTAGTTGCTGTATGTGGGACGCGGCCTCAGCATGGCCGGACAAGCGGTGCGTCCGTGTGCGCCCGGGATCCGAACCCGGGCCGCCAGCAGCGGAGCTCACGCACTTAACCGCTAAGCCACAGGGCCGGCCCTGAGCTAGATAATATTTCTGTGTCCATTTTATACATGGGCTTTAAAGAGGTGGGGTGACTTGCTGAAGGTCATGTAGCTGGGCAGTCTGACTCCAGAACTCATGCTTTCAACCTGTGGATTTACACATCTTGTGGATGCTGTGCTTTGTTTTCCTTTGGGCTTCCACATTATACTTTTCCCCATTCTGGAATCTTCTTTGCCTCTGCTCACTCCACCGTCTCTCATGGCTTTGGGTATTCAGGTTTCACTTTAAAGCTCCAGGTCATGTTAGATCCCCCGCTTTTTGTTATTTATTCCCTTCATGACACATGTCTTACTCTATTCAATTTCTCGTTTGCTTTCTGGTAGACAGTGAGCTTGGTAAGGGGACATCTAATTCACCACTGTGTCTAGTGTGGTGCTTGGTACACAGTAGGCATTTAATAAATACTTGCTCTAGGAATGAATTTCCCAAGAGTCATTTTCAATTCAGTCCTATTAAGATTTCCTGGAAGTGTGCCATGGGACACAGTTGTTTGGAAACTGCTGGATTGGAAGAATTGGTGCCTGAAGTGGTAGAAGAAACTAAAAATACAGGCTTAGATCAAGTCATGGAGGGCTCTGTGCTGTAGGAGTCCAGACTTGATCCTGAGGTCCTGATGGGGAGCCAGGGAAGGGTTTTACACAAGGGACTTACCCAGTATGTACTTTAAGAAATCCTATATTCCCACTCGTTCTTGGTTTGAGTGGTCGTTCCACTAACCAGAATAGAGATTATAGGAGGACAAATAGATTTGGGCAGAAAGGAATGCAGAAAAGATTTAAGTTTTGTCTTCCATGTGTGTTATGGATGTGAAAACATGGTAACAAGTTGTGTGAGGAGTGGGGGTAGGTTGGCTCCGCTGGAGGGTTGGAGGAGGCAGATGATACAGTTGGGTAGGCCCTTGGAGTCAATCCAAAAATCAGGTTTTCCCAGGAGGGCCACCAAGAGCCTTGTTGGGTATTTGAGTTGTTCAGCAGGGATAGGGGCTGATACTGCGACTCAGCAGAGGGCAGGAAGGAGCAGAACAGGAACCCTTGTGGCCCTGGCAGTGTTGAGGCTCTAGCAGGAGTCTGGTGTTAAGGGGGCTGGTGGCATGCCATCAATCTCAGCCCTCTTTCCCCAGAGTTGTGTGGGACCCCAGGGTATCTAGCACCAGAGATCCTTAAATGCTCCATGGACGAAACCCACCCAGGCTACGGCAAGGAGGTTGACCTGTGAGTTTCTGGTCTCCCCATTCCCTCCTCCTTTGGGTGTTGTGACTTCACTGCATTTGCCCATCGCCTAGGCATGCCTGACTCTGGTCTCTTTTCCAGGTGGGCCTGCGGGGTGATCTTGTTCACACTCCTGGCGGGCTCGCCACCATTCTGGCACCGGCGCCAGATCCTGATGTTACGCATGATCATGGAGGGCCAGTACCAGTTTAGTTCACCCGAGTGGGACGACCGTTCAGACACCGTCAAAGACCTGGTGAGCTGGGGCCATGAGAGGGCAAGGAGGGAGGCCCAAGAGCTGTCTCTCATGCTCTGGGGTTTGCCCTAGATCTCGAAGCTGCTGCAAGTGGATCCTGAGGAGCGCCTGACAGCTGAGCAAGCCCTCCAGCACCCCTTCTTTGAGCGCTGTGAAGGCAGCCAAGCCTGGATCCTCACCCCCCGCCAGCGGTTCCGGGTAAGCCCCACAGCATCAGGGTCTGGGCCTGCCCCTCTGTCTCATGATCTTTTTCCTGTGGTGGATGCTCCACTGGAGCTCATACTTTCCCCCTTCCCAGGTGGCAGTGTGGACAGTGCTGGCTGCTGGACGAGTGGCCTTAAGCATCCACCGTGTCCGGCCACTGACCAAGAGTGCACTGTTGAGGGACCCTTATGCGCTGCGGCCAGTGCGGCGCCTCATCGACAGCTGTGCCTTCCGGCTGTATGGGCACTGGGTGAAGAAGGGTGAGCAGCAGAACCGAGCAGCCCTCTTCCAGCACCAGCCCCCTGGGTCTTTTCCCGTCGTGGGCCCTGAAGAGGAGGGGGTTCCAGCTACTATCACCGAGGACGAGGCCATGCTGGTACTGGGCTAGCACGTCAGCCCTGGGAGATCCCAGAAAGCAGGACTCTCCAAGAGGAGGATTTTTATCATTCCAGCCCCTCTGGGCTCTGGCCTCAGGTCCCTCTCCCTGGCCAGGCCCACCACTGATCATACTACCATATGGACCAGCCCTGTACCCTGCCCCCGTTGGCCAGGGCTTTGTGGTCAAAGCTAAAGTGGAAAGGAGCCATTCAGAAGGCCACGCCTGGCCTTGTCAGTGCTGCCTGTGCCACGTATGCAATAAAATCTGTTACCTGCCAGGTAGAGCCAGTGCCCTATGTCTGGTGTCTGGCTTCAGCAGGGAAGCCCAGAAGGTGCTCAGGAGGAGTGGGACGGGGATGGAGCTGCTCTGGCCCAGGCCTTTATTGGGGAAACACTGAGGGTCACTTGGTCTTGCTCTTGCCTTTGCCTGCAGGTAGCTGGGAAGGCTGCTCTAGTGCAGTCAACTTGCTGCTGAGCCTGTCCTCACTGGCCTTGAGCCGCTCCTCCACCAGCTGTTGCAGCTGCCCCAGCTCCTTGTTCAGCTGGGTCTTGATATAGGCTCGGAGGATGGAGACCTGGCCTGCAGGGACAGGGAAGAAGGGGCAGGTCAGGAGAGGTGCTGGGGCTAAGGGATTGCCCCTAGCTGGGCAACACAACCTCCAGGGTCCCCTGGGGGCTACACAGGTGGCGATGTTGCTTCAATTCAGGAAATGTCCCCCAGCCCTTCTGTGAGAGAGGGGTGGGCAGAGTGGCTGTGCCAGAATTTCTGGATTGCTACTTAGTAGCTGTGGGACCTTAGGCAGGACTTTAGGCAGATTTAACCTTTCCATGCCTCAGTTTCCTCTTGTGTAAAATGTGGATAATGATAGCACCTAGCACCTAGGATTGAAGGAAGATTAAATGGGTTAGTATATGTAAAATGCTTAAAGCAGGGCCTGGCAACAGCATTGCTAAGTATGTGCTGGCTATTATTGTCATCAGTTTTATAATCATCCTTTTCTGGAACTCCTGCCTCACCCCAGCGACTGTGCTTTTATCTGTTTGTCATCTTGGACTTCTGCATAAGAAATCATTTAGAGAAAGGACACCATGACTAAAACAAAAAGTCTGAAGTCTCAATGTGGTCTAAACCCTTCATTTTACACCTGCCCAAAGTCACAGAGGACCCTAACCCCTTCAGGTCCTCACTTGGCTCTTCCTGGACCACTGTTTCCGGTTCCTCATCCTGTGGGGTGACTGCCTGCTCCTCCACTTCCTCGCCACCTTCTTTCTCTGCAAGCCAGAAGCAGGAAGAGGCTTTGGCCCTGGCCCCAGCCCCAGCCCCAGCCCCAGCATTCTCCCTTACCCATCTCATCCTCTGGCTCGAGCTTGGGTGGCTGTAGCCCCATGTAAGTCAAAGATAGATCCAACCGCACCTGAGAAGAGGAGGAGGGTGGCTGAGAGGAGGGCATCTGCACTGAGGGAAAGGGGGAGATAAGGGGTGGCCTCTTGTAGCCCATGGCCCAGTACCTGGGGTGTGAAGACATATTTGTAGAGCTTGAAGTGGCGAAAGTAGGTGTTGACCACATAATCTGCCAGGGCCAGCAGCTGTTCCTCCTTAAAGAGGTTGATACTGAAGGGGGGCCGCTGTGGGGATGATTAGGAGTTAGACGACTGACCAGCTCCTGAAGCCCTGGCCTTTTCTCCAAGGGCCCCGCAATACAGGAGCGGGGAGAGCCCACTGTGGCCTTCAGAGGAAGATGAGGGTGATGAGTGTGAGAGAGGGCAGGAGATTGGACTAGACCTTGTCTGGGGGAGAGTGAAGTTCCAGTTCCAGGGGAACTGACCCTGACTCCATGGCAGAAAAGAACACTGGTGAAGTAGCGGTAACATTCCTCCACGTTGCCCAGGGGGGTTGCTGGGAGGGGAAGCAAGATGTGACAATGAGTCCCCTCCCTCATAATCAGTCATTCATTTCACTCAACAGCTACTTATTGAGCATGAGCCTTAGAAGTGGACAGACCTAGGTTTAAGTCCTGGCTTGTTTTGTTAATTCACGCAACAAATATTGAGTACCCACTATGTACTGTTCTAGGCACTGAACAAGACAGACAAGATCCTGCCCTTATGAAGCTTATATTGTAGTGGAAGCGACATATAATAAAGCAACAGCACATAATTTCAGCTCTTGTTAAACATTCTGAAGAAAATCAGTTCTGAAAATAAAGGGGGGAGCTATTTTATTGAGCCTTGTGAATATGTTTACATATATTACATATTTCTCAGAACAGTCTCATAAATTTAGTGCTATATCCTTGTTTTATAGATAAGGAAATGGAGGATTTCAAAGGAGAAATAACTTGTGTGTGATAATAGTGCTAGAAATGACAGAACAAAGATTCCCAGTGGTAATCCCCCTACTTCTACTTCCCATGGTCACTTGTGCCATCCCAGCCTCCTCTCCCTGAGCTCAAATCCTCCAGTAGCCGCCTCCTCTCACCAACACAGGCCTTGTGAAGATCTTGGAGCAGGGCACAAACGGTTGATGTCTGCTCCAGTGAGAAGCCCTGCTGGCGGCAGAAAATGAGTGCATGGGAGAAGAGGTCCAGGGTGATGGCATCCCGCAGGCTCTGCTCAGGACCGCCTAGCCCCAACAGCTTGGCCAGCACCCTTGAGAGAGAGAGGGAGTGAGTGACAACGGGAGCCTCCCTTCAGCACCCCCCACTAGTGCACCACATGCTTTGGAGCCAAACATTCCTCATGCCTTCCCAGTCCACCCTGCTCCGCCTTCCCAAGAGCTCTTCTTCCCCTTCCTTCTCCCCCCTCCCCCCATACTCCCTCATCTCCTCAACGTTGGCTGTCTTCTCCAGCCTCTGCATGGAATGGATGTCCAAGTACTTCCTGTCACAGGAAAAGAGGAGAAAAGGTGTTGGTGGCCATTATGCATTAGTCTCATGACAGAGCCTTGGGCTGGGAACCAGGAGACCTGAGTTGAGGTTTGGCCCTTCCACTAACTTGCTGTGTAACCTTAGGCAATTGTGTCACTTCCCTCTCTAGGCCTCACTTTCTCCATCTCTAAATAATGGGTATGGCCTAAATGAACTCTTATGATTCTCTTCGTTTATAAAGCCTAGGGTTAGGAAACTCGAATTCTTATCTCTGCTCTGCCACTCCCTTGCTGTATGACTTTGGGCAAGTACCCCATGTGGGCCTCAGTGTCCCCATTTGTACAATGCTCCATAGTGGCTATGATATTCCACTTACATCCTCAGTCTTTGGCTCCCTTCTTCCCACACTCTCTTTGGAGTGGGAAGGCAGGAGAGCTGGCTTCTAGTCCCTTGGCTAATTGCATCTCTGGGCCTTGGTCTCCTTATCTGTAAAATGGGGATGTCCTGGCTGTTTGATAGGACTGTTGGGGAAGCACTAAAGGAATAATGCAAGTGTGAAGTGTAACTTTCCCCCGAGGTTCTTCACACTCACCACATGCAGATCCGGGGCTGGGGCAGCGGCGGCTGCGGAAAGAAAGCGGATTGGGGAAGGCAGAGCTATGTTGTCCCTGGCCCCTAGTTCCTGGCCCATCGCGAATACCCAGCGGGCTTGAGAACGAGCTAACTTCTCATTTAAGGAATATGTACAAGCAACGCTGGCGGGCTGGGCTTCAGCAGGACCTACATATTATTCACGAGCGTATTAACAATCGGGCTCACACACCCCTGACTCTTCACTAAGGCAGCCCGGAAAATGTCTCGAACGTTAGTAAACATAACGACGGGTGACGCCCTGTTGGGGAGCCTTTTTATAAACATTCATGAGAGGACCAGTCTGTCCCGCCCTCACCGGGAACAAGTTGGCTGCAGGATCATCATCTGCTTCCACCGAGGCCGCGGTCCCCGACTCGATCCGCACATCTGTTCCCATCCGCGTAGCCGATTCATCCACTGAGCTGAGGTTTTTGTCGGGTTCCCGCCGCTGTTCGGAGGGCTCTTCAAGCTCCGACTGCATTCTGAGTCCTAGGAATTGGCTGGACTTCTGGCGGATCATCTCGTCGCTCCTCCCGCGGTCCCGCCTCCGTTCCGGGACAGCCGGTTCTCGGGCAGCGACTGCCAAGGCCTGGCCCTTTAACGACGCTTCAGCCAATCTATGCTGCGGAGAGGCCAGGGGCAGCCAATCCGCGAGGGGCGTCTCCCTCGGTCTCAACGGTGACCGTTGCTAAGGAGTCTCGTGGAGGAAGGGTGAAAGTGTAAAGCGCTTGCCAATCAGTGAAAAGAGAGTGCGCATGCGTAATAAGTTGCAAGCCCCGTCCCGCTGCCCTTTCTTCAAAGTGGCTAATAGGAGGTAGGCGATGTCATCAGGGCTAGGGAGTGAAAGTGTAGTATCAGTTACCATGGGAACCCTTTACTGGCCAATCACCGAGCGAAAGAGGAAGTATTCAGGAAGACACCAGACCGGACCCGAGAGGCGGGACAAAGCGCGACCAATAGAAACAGGAAATGAAGGAGGTTCGCCACATCCGGCACTGCCTCTGGCGCCTGCGCTCTCTGCTGGGGAGGCCGGTGACGTCCGGTGAAGTCCAAGATGGCGGGGCTCGGTTGATCTTGTTGCCGGTGAGGGGCCCGGGGCCGGCGGGGCGGGACCCAGCGTTTGTGTGCGGGGGAGGCTCGGGGTTGCGGAGCACCGGCTGCTTCCACATCTCTGCGCTCTGTCTTCTGCAGGTGACAGACGTGCCGCCTCCGCCTGCCTGACGTCCCTCGGGAGACGCTGCGCCGCTCCTCGCCGCCGCGGCCATGTCTGGGCCCGGCAACAAACGCGCCGCCGGCGACGGGGGCTCGGGGCCCCCAGAGAAGAAGCTCAGCCGTGAGGAGAAGACCACAACCACGCTTATAGAGCCCATTCGTCTTGGGGGCATCTCTTCCACGGTTCGTGGGCTCCTGCCCCAGCCCTCACAACTTGCCAGACTCCAATCTCTGTTCTTCCCCCAGATTTTCCAGAACCTTACTCCCAGTCCCCCAAGCTTAGCAAGAGCCCCTTTACAGAACACTCTGTTGAGGGAAACCGAGGACATGACGTCTGCCTTCCCTTTACAGATAGGAAAACAGGTGCCCAGTGCGCGTGTGACTTGTCAGAGACTTCAGAGTTAGAAAGAGGCAGGAGAACATGACCCTCCTCACAACCAAGACGCTTTCTCTGTGGGTACCTGATCCTCTTTAAATCCTGCTAGCAGTCTGGGGAGCAGTCTCCCTCTCCCATCCATTCCATTTGCTTTCCTTTGTCTCTCTCTGGTTGGTTTCTTGGGCCCTGCTTGATCCTGTCCTTGGCTTCTTTGTTTCCTTGGTAGGAGGAGATGGACCTGAAGGTGCTGCAGTTCAAGAACAAGAAACTAGCAGAGCGGTTGGAACAGCGACAGGCTTGTGAAGATGAACTCCGAGAACGAATTGAGAAGCTGGAGAAGCGGCAGGCCACAGATGATGCCACACTCCTCATTGTCAACCGCTACTGGGCCCAGGTGGATGCCCCTCTGCTTGCCACGACCTGGCCTTAATCCAGCTGCCAATCCTCAGACTCCTCTGCTGGGAAAGGAGTATCATGCTGGGGAAGCACCTGAGGCATTCATAACATTTTTGGTGCTTTCTCCCTTCAGCTGGATGAAACTGTGGAAGCTCTTCTCAGACACCATGAGAGCCAGGGGGAGCTGTCTTCAGGGACAGAGGCGCCTGGGACCCAGGAAGGGCCAACACGTGATGAGACCCCTCTTACAGAGCCAGGGACGTCGGGTAGGGCCAGAGCCGTAGGATCTGGGGAGCTTAATTAAATTCTGGGAAAGGTCCTGGAGAGGAGGGTACTTTGATATTAGGCTCCTGAATTCCCTGGCCCCGTTCTAGATGGAGGAGACAGAAATAAGCAAAAAGAAATACTGCTTTTGCCACCAGGGAGGAAGTGATTTTGAACCATATGTTAAAAGTATAGGGGTCCTTGAATGGGAATTAGGGTGTGTGTACACGTGTGTGGTTCTCATTTAGATTGGAGAGGCAGAGAAGACTTCCCTGAGGAAGTGATTTGGGAGCTCTGTGAGCTTGAGGAGATTACTTTACCTCCCTGAACCTCAGTTGTTTCACTTTCAAGATGGGGATAACGGTGTACTACAGGCATTGGTTGTGTTGATTCAGTGAGCCATAGGGTGTTGAAGGGCTTAGTCTGGAACTTGGTGCAGAGTGGTGGTAACTGCTGCCTTTATCCTCATGAGAGTGTGTCCTTCCTTCCCAGAGACCCTGCCAATGCAGCTGCAGCCCCCACTCAGCGAGCCAGCCTTGGCTTTTGTGGTGGCGCTGGGTGCCAGCAGTAGTGAGGAGGTGGAGCTGCAGCTGCAGGGCCGTATGGAGTTCTCCAAAGCAGCCGTGTCCCGTGTTGTAGAGGCCTCAGACCGCTTACAGCGCCGAGTGGAGGAACTGTGTCAACGAGTATACAGCCGAGGTTAGTTCTTTGTGCCCTCACCCTAGAGATGTCCATCGCAATTTGCATCTTCACAGTATCCCCTCCTCAATGCCTCTAGCCCAAAGGTAGCCAGAATTCCCCAAGGATTAGATCAGCCATGTTCTCAGCGGAAGAGTTAGGTTGTAGATGGGGGCTCCAGCTGTGAATCCTGGAGTTGAGCTCTAGAGATATGGGTGGGAGGAGCTGATGCTGGTGGGGCCACCCCCTTCTGGCTGGAGACCTCTTTGGAGCACTGTACACAGATCTTGGTGGCAGTTGCTGATCCACAAGGCATAGCAGCAAGTGCCCAGGCTTTGCAGTCAGACATCTTCTCCCAGCCTTAGTTTTGTCACTCTAGCCTGGGCATTCTGGGCAAATGGCTCTCCTCTCTGAGCTGGTTTCCTCCTTTGTACAGTGGGGATAAAGACTCCTGGCTTTGTCATGAGAAATTGGCAAGACAGCTGGTGGATCACACTGGGCACATAGCAGACTCCAGAATGAGTTAGTACTTTGCCCCATTGCCCTGGACTTGGCTCTTAACCGAGCCCTGACTTCTCAGGGGACAGTGAGCCCCCCAGTGAGGCGGCTCGGGCACGCACCCGGGAGCTGGGCCGTGAGAACCGGCGGCTACAGGACTTGGCCACCCAGCTACAGGAGAAGCACCATCGCATCTCGTTGGAGGTGGGAGTTGGGCTTTTGGGCATGGGATTAGAATCAGGGCAGGATTTGGGTTAGATGGGATCTCAAGGAGCCAAGTCCCCTCATTTAAGCATCTGTTTCCTTCATTGTCCGCAGTACTCTGAGCTCCAGGATAAAGTAACATCAGCAGAGACTAAGGTGTTGGAGATGGAGACAACGGTAGAGGACCTGCAGTGGGACATTGAGAAGCTGCGCAAGCGTGAGCAAAAGCTCAATAAGCACCTGGCAGAGGCTTTGGAGCAGGTGGGGCGCAGGTGCTAGGTCAGCTGGAGCCAGGGCTGGGTACTTAGCATCCTCGCTTTTCCCCTCTGCTCCTGCCTGTCTGACTCTCTTCTCTCCACAGCTCAACTCTGGCTACTATGTGTCTGGGAGCTCCTCTGGCTTCCAGGGCGGCCAGATCACACTCAGCATGCAGAAGGTGAGCAGGCTTCTTTCTTCCTAGTCCCACCCATAACCTTTTCCCTACCCCACCTGTGAAATTTCCCTCAGAATTAAGGACAGATATCCAACTATGGTTTCAGGCCCTTCCCTGTCTCTCACGCTGCTCTTTATTTGTTCATATTACTCAGTAAGTAATTGCTGAACACTAAGTGCTAGGCACTGTGCCAAGGTGCAGGCATATTAGAGAACAATATAGACAAAAATCAAAGCTTTCATGGAGCTTAGGTTCTAGTTGGGGGAACTGACAAGAAGTAAGTAAAATAGTATATCAGTTGGTTATAAGTACTACAAAGAGAAAGCTTAGAAAAGAGATAAATGGAAGTATATTGGTGTTGTTTGGCATTCTCAGTTGGGTGGCTGAGGAAGGGCCCTGCTGAAAAGGTACGTTTAATCACTCTCATCTCGTGTCGTGCCTTTGCCCTCTCACCTGTTGATCATTGCACATTTTCTTGGTGCTGTGGGGGGGCACTGTGCCCTGTTTCCCTTTACTTCAGCTTGCTCTTCAGGGCTTCCAGGAAGGCTTCCCTGGCTCCCTGTCAGTTACAGGCCTTGATTCCCAGCACTGACCACACGATATTGAATTTTCTCCCACTTCCCTGGGAGCTCCTAGGAGAGTGCTTGGGTCTGGCTTGTCCCTGGGGCTTCAGAACCCATCATCGCTCTATATAGGGGAGCTTGGGTGGGGCATATGGTGGGGATATGAGGGAAGCATGCCTCCTGGCCTGGTCCTGCCTCCCACAGCCATTCTCACTTCACAGTTTGAGATGCTGAATGCAGAGTTGGAGGAAAACCAGGAATTGGCCAACAGCCGCATGGCAGAGCTGGAGAAGCTACAGGCTGAACTTCAGGGGGCTGTGCGGACCAATGAACGCCTCAAGGTGGGCTGTGTTTGGGGCTGGGAGAGCCTGAGCCTGCAAGATAGGGTCTGAGCCCTGAATCCTCTTGCTGATCACTTTTGGGCATCCCTGTCCCTAGGTGGCCCTGCGGAGCCTTCCTGAGGAGGTGGTACGGGAGACGGGGGAGTACCGAATGCTGCAGGCCCAATTCTCACTGCTCTACAATGAGTCTCTGCAAGTGAAGACCCAGCTGGACGAGGCCCGGGGGCTGCTGCTGGCCACCAAGAACTCCCACCTGAGACACATTGAGCACATGGAGGTATGGCCCTGGAACGGAGTGGGGGCCAGGTGTAAGGGCCAGACCCTTAGGGTCAAGGCATTTCTGGGTCAAGGGTGTTGGAGGCCCTGTGTGCCTGCCAGGGGTCTCTTGGAAATAAATTCTTCCTAAGCCACTGAGGCCTGAAGTGGAAGGCTTGCCAGGAGGCTGAGGGGTTGTGTGGTTTCTTAACACCTCAACCCACAGAGTGATGAACTGGGGCTGCAAAAGAAGCTGCGCACAGAGGTTATCCAGCTGGAGGACACGCTGGCCCAGGTACGCAAGGAATACGAGATGCTGCGCATCGAGTTTGAACAGAACCTGGCGGCCAACGAGCAGGCGGGTATGTGGTGAGGACAGGGTGGAGGTGGGGCCTTATCTGGGATTGCTGGGCCCTGGTGTGGGGCTGCTGCTTATCCAGATGCGAGAGGTTAAGCCCCTTCCTTTCACAGAGCCTCATGTCCCTGTGGAAAACAGGGACCACAGCGCTTGGCTCAAAGGCACAGTGAGGATCACAGCCAGCTGAGGTGGCTGATGGAGCAGGCTCAGCCAGAGCTTGAGCTATTGGCCCCATTTCTAGTTCTCAGACCCTACCGGTGTCTCCTTGAGATATTCTTTTGTAATACAGAGATTTATCGAACACCACTTATCAGCCAGGCTCTGTTCTAGGATTTAGAATTATACCACTGAACAAAACTCAAAGAATCCCTGTTGTTGTAGAGTAGTGTTGTGGTAGGGGGAGACAGACAACAAAGAAGAAAAAAATAGAACATGTGTGTTAGATAGTGACAAATATACCAAGAAAAATAAAGCAGGGAGGGAAGATAAGAAGTATTAGGAGAAAGGGTGTTGCAATTTTGGGTGAGGAAGCCAGGGAAATGTATGAGAAGGTGACAATTATTTAAAAACCTAAAAGAAGTGGACTAACTTACTTTTGTGAATGTTAGTTATGTGTTCCTTTGAAGGAAATTTGGACATGTTAAAAAAATCTACATTAGCAGAGATAACACACATGGGCAGTATCATGTTACTTTTGGATGAACTTCTTTCAGTTCAATTCCTTCCTTTATTTGCTTTGATGAGATCACACTCTATATAAGGCCTTGGTTTTCCTCTCCTTCATAATGGGCGTGATGGCTCTAGCTCCATCTCCTCCCCCACTGAGGAGTTGGGCCCCTAACTCAGGGGCCAGTTCAACGTTAGTTCCTGACCCACCCCCAGGGCCCATCAACCGTGAGATGCGCCACCTGATCAGCAGCCTCCAGAACCACAACCACCAGCTAAAGGGGGATGCCCAGCGATACAAGCGGAAGCTGCGGGAAGTGCAGGCTGAGATTGGCAAGGTGAGGGGGGAGCTGCCTGGGAAAAGCCTTGGCTAGACCCCATTGAGCACTGTCTCATCTCAGCCCTGTTCTCTCTCCGTCTTTGCAGCTCCGGGCACAGGCCAGTGGCTCTACACACTCCATCCCCAACCTGGGCCACTCAGACGACTCTGGCCTCAGTGCTGCAGCCCCAGGGAAAGAAGAGAGTGGGCCAGGCCCTGTCAGTGCCCCCGATGGCAGAAAAGAGATGGCTTCAGTGCCTGGCGCCATCACTACTACCTCCTCAGCAAAGAAGGAGGAGCTGGTCCCCTCTGAGGAAGATGCCCAGGCCCTAACCCCTGGGTCCCAAGGCCCCTCCTCCCGGGGCCGAGAACCTGAAGCCAGGCCCAAGCGGGAGCTTCGGGAGCGGGAAGGGCCTGGCCTGGGACCCCCATCTGTAGCCTCAGCTCTCTCAAGGGCTGATCGGGAGAAGGCCAAGGTGGAGGAGGCCAAGAGGAAGGAGTCAGAACTCCTCAAAGGTCTCCGAGCAGAGCTCAAGTGAGGCGCTATTCCTGTCTCCTTCCCACCTCTGCCAAGTGGCCTCCAGCCCTACTCACCAAGCCTTCCTCCTGTGCCTCCCCTAGGAAGGCCCAGGAAAGCCAGAAGGAGATGAAGCTGCTGCTGGACATGTACAAGTCAGCGCCCAAGGAGCAGCGGGATAAGGTGCAGCTCATGGCAGCCGAACGCAAGGCCAAGGCTGAGGTGAGGGCAGGTAGGGCCTGTGGGGCATGCAGAGAGGCTGCCCCAGGGGGTTTTGACCAGACCAGAACCCTAGGTCAGCGGGAAGAAGTGACAAGAGGGCTCCCTCCCTCTGCTGGCTGTAGGTTGATGAACTACGGAGCCGAATCCGGGAATTGGAGGAGAGGGATCGAAGGGAGAGCAAGAAGATTGCGGATGAGGATGCCCTGCGGCGCATTCGGCAGGCAGAGGAGCAGATAGAACACCTGCAGCGCAAGTTGGGTGCCACCAAGCAGGTGCAACCTCCTCGTGGTCCCCTTGCATGTTGAGATTCTGTTAACACCCTACCCCGTTGGGTGATGTTAGCAAATAGCCCAGGTCCACTCTGTCATTCTTTACTCAGCCATGTTTTCCTGTGGTTTCCCCACGGGCATCCTGGCCATCTACCACTTCCCATCTTGTCTCTGCTGCAGGAGGAGGAGGCTCTGCTGTCAGAGATGGATGTGACAGGTCAGGCTTTTGAGGACATGCAGGAGCAGAATGGGCGGCTGCTACAGCAGTTGCGGGAAAAGGATGATGCCAACTTTAAGCTGATGTCAGAGCGGATCAAGGCCAACCAGATTCACAAGCTACTGCGGGAGGAGAAGGATGAGCTGGGCGAGCAGGTTCTTGGCCTGAAGTCCCAGGTATGGCCGCCCTGGGCCTGTAGGGTGGGGCTGGCGAAGCAAGGGCTCCCCAGCACTGAGTACCCCACCCCACTCCTCAGGTGGATGCCCAGCTGCTGACTGTGCAGAAGCTGGAGGAAAAAGAGCGGGCCTTGCAGGGCAGCCTCGGCGGTGTGGAGAAGGAGCTGACGCTGCGCAGCCAGGCCTTAGAGCTCAACAAGAGGAAGGTGAGGCTAGGCCTGAGGTAAAGCAACCTAGGATGCCGGCTCACAGCTGAAGCCGGTTCCGCCTCCTCTCAGAGCCCAGCTCATGTCTCACACACATACTATATTCCAGACTCTGTACTGAGGACTTCCTTTTCTTATCTCATTTTGGTCTCACAGTAATCTTACTATGGTTTTTATTATTATCTTCCTTTCGTAAGTGAGTAAAATGAGGCTCAAGGAGGTCAGTTGACTTGCTTAAGAAAGAGTGGAACTGGGATTTGGGCCTGGGTCTCCTTGGCTCCAGGACCACTGCATTGGTTAGCTATAAAATGGGGATGGTGGCCCCTGTTATGTAGGTGTATTTAACCTAAGAAATGTTTAGCTCGTGGTAAAGGCTTAAGATTAACATTGATTTTGATTTTTATCTTCTTTCTCCTACTGGGTTTTTTTCTTATCCAGTTCATTCATTCATTTAAGTAATATTATTCATCCTCTTGATAGGTACCAGGCCCTGGGCTGAGGGCTGGGTGGAACATGGGAAAAGGAGGGTTCTACTAGAAGTAGGAACTTCCAGTCTTGAGGAGCAGATAGCAATCCAGTAATCCGACAGATAGAATAATGTTATTAGAGATCACAGTAAGTCTTATGAAGGAAACCAAGGTCCTGTGCAAGAAAAATAGGAGAACCTCCCTCAGGAGGTGACATTTTAGCTGAGGCCTGAGGGAGTTGTAGGGAAAATGTATATATGTTTTGGGGAGTTGATGGGAGCAGAGAGAAGAGTGCTGTGAAGGCTCAGACAGGAGAGAGCCTATGCAGGTGAGGAACTGAAAGTGTCGGGAACAAGGGAGAGTAGGAGATGGTGAGGGTTGAGAGGGCAAGAGGCAGGATCAGCTCCAGTGAAGATATTGGACTTGATCTCAAGAGCAGGAATCACTGGAACCATCTGTAGACCATGTCTCCACATACCTGACTCCTGAGGCTCAGGTGAATCATGCCCCTCCTCCCTGTCCCACCCACCTCAGGCTGTGGAAGCCGCCCAGCTGGCCGAAGACCTGAAGGTGCAGCTGGAGCATGTGCAGACGCGGCTGCGAGAGATCCAGCCTTGCCTGGCAGAGAGCCGGGCTGCTCGTGAGAAAGAGAGCTTCAACCTCAAGAGGGCTCAGGTGTGTCAGAGAGGGGTGGGGGTGGGAGGGTGGGCAGGGTGGTCCAGGGTCACTGATGTGGCCTAGGGGTGGGTGGTTCAGGTTGAGGACCCTTGCACTTAGCCTAGCCCCTCTCCTGCCCCAGGAGGACATCTCACGGCTACGTCGCAAACTGGAGAAGCAGAGGAAGGTGGAGGTTTACGCAGATGCCGATGAAATCCTCCAGGAGGAGATCAAGGAGTACAAGGTGGGGCTCTGGGGCTGAGTTGTGCTCCATCAACCTAGGAATCTTAGATGGGGGGTTGATGAGAGCTGTAGTGGGTAGTTTGGGGGCCCCAGAAATAAGTTAGAATAGCAAAAAGTGGGCAGAATCCATTGTGGAGAATCAGACAATTGACTGAGTATTGTACACATACTGCATGTCAGGCAGAGTGCCTGGCTAGGTATGGGAAGGCTAGGAACTAAACCTGGTCTCAGATCTCTTGAAACTGACAGTATGTTGGAAGAGGCAGCCAAGTAATTTTCCCATCTGAGTGATGACAATGTGATGGCAGAGGGCAGAAGGGCTGTGAGAATTCAGGGGAGGCTCTTAAACCAACGCTGGGAGTCAGTAGGCTTCCTGGAAACAATGTCATTCGAGGGAAACCTGAAGAATGAGTCAGGGTTGGCCATGAGGAATGGAGACGAGAGGGTTCCGGCAAGGGGAAAGGCAGAGGTGGAGGTCTCTAGCTGAGAGAGGTGTGCTGGAGGACAGAGAGCTGGACATCATAGTTGGAGGACAGAATGTGGGTTTTGTGCTAAGTGGCAAGCCTGGGGGCGTTGGGCAGTGTCCATCTTGAAGGGTGTGGTAAACCAGTTTGAGATGCTTGGCTTATCCTGTAGGCAGCGTGGAGACATCAAAGCGTTTTAAACCAGAGAATGACATGGTCTGATTTGCTGTTGGATTTGGGCTGGAGGAGGGAAAGACTAGAGGGAGGGAAATGTGTTATACTATTATAGTCATTGAGGCAAAAACTGATATTGAGCTAGCCTAAGGTATCAAAGACAAATTGATGAGTTCAGGAGATAGATAGGAGGCAGAAGTGCTTGGCCTCACGGATGGATTGAATGCATGGAGTGAAGGAGAGGGAGATACTGAGGAGAACCCCTGAGCTCCTGATTTGAGAAACTGGGTGGATGACAAGTAGCACTTTGCAGGATTAGGAGGACTGCAGAGGAGCAGGTTTCAGTGGACAGTGTTCAAGGATGTTGAGAACAAGGTGCCTGTAGGACCTCTTGGGGGGCTGTCTGGGAAGGCCCTCAAAGCAAAAGGGTTGGTCTGCAGAACAGGGGTCTGGAGGATTGTCGGCAGAGGTGGAAGCCATATATAACTGTGGTCCCCTAGGGAGGGTCTGTGGCTTGAGGAGGGACAGGAGTCATTTTTCTCCCTTAGGAACCTCAAAGCTTAAATGATGGAATGAGAAGCCTGTGATTTGGGAGGAAGGAGAGTGATATAGAGGGAGTTGATGGGGGAATGAGCTGAGTCAGAGCTGCCAAGAAGGCAAAGGAAGCAAGCGATGAGAGATGCCCCTTGGATTTGGCAGTCTGGGTGGGAATGGTTCTTGGGCAGGGGTGGAGGTGGAGGTCAGACACCTGCACTGGAGTGAGGAGAGGGAAGAAGGAGGGTGTGTCCCTGAATAGAAACCTTTTGAAGCAGTTTGGCCTTGAAGCAGCAGAAGCAGCCATGGCAGAGAAGGGAAGGGTTTCTTGAGAAGAGAGAGATTTTGGAGCCTGTCAGATGCTGATGGGTCGAGTTCTGAGAGCTAGGGAACAGGTGATGCCGATGGGGGCATTCCTGAGGTGGCCACCTGGGCTGAGATTTCAAGCAGGGCAGAGGAGGAATGTTGGGGAATGCTGAGTTGAGGGAATTCCTATCTGGAGTTGGAGGTTAGACCTGGTGGCAGATGGGAGGTTTCAGGATAGGTGAGGAGATTTGTAAAACCTCCGTAGAGAGGAGTGAATCCAGGGACCCACAGCAGGGTCTTTGGGCAGCACCAGGGGTCGGCCCAGTTGAGGGTGGAGACAGCAGATTTCTAGTGGCACTGCCATGCCCAGCTGTGACTTAGCAGGTACAGGTGGAGAGAAGGTAGACAGTTGGCTTAAGCCAGGATTGGGGTTTGGCCAAGAAGGCCAGAGAGGCAAGAGACGAAGCTCCAAGGTGGAGGAGCGCAGGCTGAGCCTGTGGGTCATTGACCTTGAGAGGGGACATGTGACCACTGGCCAACACTGCCCAGGTTAGAGTCCAGACTCTGCTGCTTTCTAGTTTTGAGACCTTAGATTCTGAGCCTCAGTTTCCTCATCTGGAGAGTGTTCATCCCCACCTGCCAGGGTTATGGTGAGAGTTAGATGCAGTCTGCTGTGTGGTGCACTTAGCCTGGACCACCTCCTGCTGTCAGCTTGTGGTCTGGGCACCATCATGATTGTTCCCGAGCTGATGCCTTTGCCCGGCCCAGGCGCGGTTGACCTGCCCCTGCTGTAACACCCGCAAGAAGGATGCAGTCCTTACCAAGTGCTTCCACGTTTTCTGCTTCGAGTGCGTGCGGGGCCGCTATGAGGCCCGCCAGAGGAAGTGCCCCAAGTGCAACGCAGCCTTTGGTGCCCACGACTTCCACCGTGTCTACATCAGCTGAACCTGTAACTCAGGGGACTTTGGAACACCCATGGACCCTGGGGGCTGTGCCCCTGGTCCCCACCCCACCTCCAGTGGCCCCCACCCTCCATTCCAGTCCCTGTGGGCCTAGCCCCTTCCCACCTAGTTGGTTTGGGGGCCCCAGTGCATGCTAGTGGGAGTGGGATCAGCTAAGCTCAGTTCCACCTTTTCCCCAAGGTCAGAGCTGTAGCCTAGGGGGCACCTGCCCTGCAGGAAAGGTCTGTTGTGAGAGGCCTCAGGGGCCCAGAGCACTCAGCTGAGCTTCCTGGAAGCTGGCCCCAACCCTTCTCCAGCTGTCTCCATGGGCTCATCCCAGCCGTAAGGGGGAAATTCCCCAGGCTGTGACCTCCCATGTAAGAGGAGGCTCACTACCTGCTTACACACCCACAAGTGAGGATCAGGGGTGGGCCAGGTCCCCAGCCCCTTGCTCTGGGACTGGCCCCTGGGGCCCAGGGAGACTTTCTTTACCCTCTTGCCTCCCAGGCCTGGGAAGGGCTTCCCTCCTGTGGAGTTCCCTGGGCTCTTTAGTCTGGCTCTTGTGCTAAGGCCTGAAGGAGGTACCCCCTTGCTGGGGGGAGTGGTGTGTGGCACCATCCTCTTGCTCTGAGAAGCTCTCTGGTTGCTGCAGTCACTTTGCCTTCATCTTGGGAGTGCTGAACCAAGATTATCAGTTTCTATTCTAATCAGGCCCCTCCCAATCTCTACTTCTTTCCCAAGCCCACTTACCCCCACCTCATGCTTCTCAAGGCTCCACTGGCTCCCCAGCCCTCACCCTGCTTTCATCGTGGTGGCCTTAAGTGTAGTGGAGGTGGAACTTCCCAGGAGGGAAGGAACAGACTAGCCGCTGGGCCAACTTCCGATCATTCCAGGTAGAGCTTCATCTAACACCCTGTGACTGAGCCTGTACCCACGATGCTTCCTGCGCTGCCTGCCCAAGCAAAGTCCATGGGCTGTGAAGACAGCACACAGGGGCCTGGAAGGTGGAGCTGCTGACAGGTCCAAGGGTCCATTCTGACCCACAGCCCCTGCTCTAGAGATGACTTGTATAGGCTGTTGTTATGAATAAACGTCCAACTCCTCAGCCTATGTATGGTCCGAGTAGCCAGGGTTCCTGCCCTACACGTGGTCCCGGATTTTAACTGCTACACCTGTCCTGGTGCTGCCCTGGCTGGCGAGTGAACCTGGAGGGCCTGCGCAGATGAGAGACCCCGCTCCTGCCCAACCCAACCCCTAGTTACGCTTAGACCCAACTGCCGTCTGGGATCCTGGACTGAGCCCGCGCGAGGAGTGTGTCTGCAGGGAGAAAGGCGTCGTGGTCACTCCTCTGCCGCCAGCTGGCCCCTCCTGCTCCCACCGAGAAGGGCTGACGCTCCCCGGCAGTGGCAGCCGGCAGGCCCCTCCCCCGCGGGCTCGCCACGCCCCCCGCACTTATTGGTCGCTGGGATCCTGGGAGCCCTCAGAGCTGCATTTGGGGAAATGTAGTCCCATATTGGCTCCTGGCGACAAGGTCCTTGGAGTGGGGAGGCGGTCCCCCGGTTGTGCTGGCCAAAGCCGGGCCTGGACCCCATCTGAAGGTCGTCCCTCCCCAACGGCTTCACCCGCCCCTTCCCTTGGGCGGACAGATTGGGACACCTCAGCCGGTGACTTCGTTCATTGCAACTTGCGCCGGCCGTTGGCCGTGTTCTCGGGAGCTGTGCGCCGTGTGTCGGGTGGCGCCTGCAGGTTCAGTGCGCCGTCGGATCCTCCGAAGGAGCCTTCATCGAGGCTGTACTGGGACTCGCACTGGGGCCGGTGCTGACCGGAGTTGGTGCCGGAGCTGGAGTCGGGGCCATGGCCACAGCAGCGGCAGCGGGCTTGTCAGCGGTCGCGCCTTCGCGGGGGCTCGCGGCCTTGTCCGCCCTCGGGCTCCACCTGGCGCCCAGAGTTTCGGCGGGGCCGCAGCGGCTGGACCAGGTCGGACTGGAGACGGAGACGCGGGCAACAGTGACTTCCGGCGCAAGGCTGGCGGCTGTGGGCACGCTCGCCGAGGCACGGGCCGTGGCCGGGGATGGCATTGGGCCGCCGAGGAAGTGTGCGCGGTCCGGGGGCAGCGGTGGCCAGGGTGGGGAAAAACGCAGCATATTGCATCATAGAGATGCGGCCGGGCTCTGAGAGGAGCTTTCCGGCTGGGGGGCTCGCGGTCAGCCAACCTTCTGTGAGTACTATCCTCTTTCCCAGGAGTCACCTCCACGTGGGCTCCTTAAGTAGATGCAAGTAACTACACATCACCTCCCCAAATATGTCCCCTAGGCCAGTGTCCATATCCAGAGGGGCTAAAAAATCCTTGTGTGTCCTCGTACCTAATAAAGTAGGCATCAAACCAATTTGTCAAGCTCAGGCCCAAGAGGGTGAGATAAAGATCCCAGAATTTCAGTGGGAGGAGCAAGCACTGATGCAGCAGGAAGCACAGAGTCAACTCTGCATAAACATTGGTTTGCAATGAGCATGTCCAGTGCTGGGAGGATCTGCCTTAGGGCCTGGTCAGGCCCCTCCCCCCAGGGCTTTGACTCCTTACAACCCCCAGTAGCCCAGTGGTCTCAGTGGCTGTGATACCCTGGGCCTCTGGGATAGGCAAACCAAAGCTCCTCCCGGACCCACCCTGACCTTGGCTGGCCTCTTGGGGGTGAGCAGATTTTGGCCTCAGTGGTGAAATTGCCTGTTTTAGCCAGAACTAGGGCTGCTGTCTGTGATTGGCCACAGGGTCCAGTGGAGCATTTGACATTGACCACTCACTAAAACTTCCCTTGGGCCCTGTGGTGCTGCCCTCTCCTGGGTCTTCCTCATACTCACTGTCTTCCTCCACACCTCCACACCTCTCCTTTCTACTCTGCCACTCTCCCTGAGTGTTGTTTATCCATGGCTGTGGCTACAGCTAAGCTGCTAAGACTCAACTCCTTGTCCAGCCCAGTTCTCTTTCCTGAGTTCCAAACCTGGAAAGTCACCACCATTTGTGGGGGAGGGAGTATGATCATGTCACTCTCCTTAAAAATCCCCCAGTGGTGCCCTATCCCCAAGTTCCTCAAACAAGATGCTCCACACTCTGGCCTCTGCTCTGTACCTTCCCTCAATCCCCTATGCTCTAAGCCCACACCTAACTGTTAAGCACCCTCTATCCCCTGCCACCTGACCCCTACACATACTGTTTCCTGTTCCTGCAACCCTCATCTCAGGTCACTTCCTCCAGCCAGTTTTCTGACCCTCTGTTGTGGCAGCCACCCTGTCTGGGTCCACAGCCCCTTCTGCAAAGTCTCTAAACCAATCACTGGCTCCAGTGTCCGTTCTTTCCCTGTGGTCTCCTCGCTTTACTGAGGACTCCCCATGTGCTAGGACCAGTTCTGATGTACCTCAATATTCCCAGAGCTGGGAACACAGGGAATATAGAATAGCTTTCATTATTCACCTTTATGTGAAAGGCAAGTCCCTCCTCACTGCCCCACCCCTTGCTTTCCAGATGGAGAAGGGGAAGGAGAGACAGCCCCCCTGGGGGTCTGGGTCAGAGACACAGGGAAGGTGGGGAGACAGCTTCCTGGCTGGGGCAGGAGGCCCCCAGCAGACTGGGGCAGAGGCAGGTGACAGGTTAGAGCAAGTGTTGACCTCAGGCAGCCACTCAGGGACCGTGGCCAGGCCTAGGCCCAAGAGATAGCAGTGAGGCAAGCCTGTCTGAGGATTCATCAGAGCAGCCCCGTCTGGCCCAGACAGTGTGGAGCCCTGGCCAGGCCCAGGCAGGCCCAGCAACGGGGGAGGAGAGGCTTGGTTGGGTGCAGAGCCTGCTCCTGGCCATTCTGGTTTCCCTCACTGCCTTGCTGTGGATTTTGGGCAAGTGGCTGCCCTTCTCTGAGCCTCAGCCTCTCCACCCAGTGAGGGTTTATGGGATACATCCTGACAGTGTGATGACAAGCCAGGTCTCCATCCACCTCTCCTCAAGGGTCTAGGAGGCTCCAGTCCAGACGAAGGGCTGCACCATGCCCAGGACCCAGGTGAACCAGGGGAGGTGGCCGCCAGCTTCTGGAACTAGATCTTAGGAGCTTTCCCTGTGGCAGCCTGGGGAGGGTGCAGGTGTTGTGGCCAGAGAGGCCTCCCTGGGGCTGCACAGCTGGGCCTGAGCCAGCCAGTGCCACAGTCACCAGGCAGCCAGCCACCCAGCAGTCAGCACATCATGCTGGTGCTGAAGTTAGGCACCAACAAAAGCTACTTGGCTCTGCCACCATCCTAGCACATTTTCCCCCTTTCTCCCCAGGGTTTGGATTTTAAAACTCCATGAACCTTCAGGCTCCCACTAGCAAGCACTGGATGGAGATTCTAGGGCCTCTGGCGGAAGGGTGCCAGGGCAGCCTGGGGCTGGGCTCAGCTTTTTGGGAGGGGACAAGCTCTTTCAGCTTGCTCTAGGCTTGAAAGAGAAGACAGAAAACACCGGGGAAATCTTATTCCCTTTATTCTCTTCAACTAATCAACATGACCACCAGTGACACAACACTGTTATTGACACACAACACTCAAAAGTGGGGCCTCTCCTCACTCCAGGGGAAACAAGTCAGGTGAGTGGGGCTTCCCTAATCGGGGGCAAAGGAGTCTGGGGGCTGCTCACCTCAGGGGCGGGTGTCATGGAACCCCACCTCTTGGTTGTGATGGTTTCAAGTTTCCCCACCATTCAGGATTCATGCCCAGTTCTTTCGAGTTCCCATCTGACCTCCATATTCACTGCAGTTTCAAGTTTCACCCTAAGCTCAGATCAGTTTCTACTCTTTCCTCTGCTTTCACCATGACTCTGTGACCCTGTCTGTTGGGAATTCTGAAAAGTCAGGCCTGCACGGAGTTGGACGAGAGTTTGGCTACACCATACCTTCTAGACTCAGTTTTGGTGGGCAAGTGCTGCAAGGGCAAGGGCCTTTGCCTGAGCTGGTCAGAGGGACTCGACACTGCCACCTCCGCCCAGCCAGCTTCCTGCTTAGTTCTTCCCAAGTAGCCCACTCTGGGAGGGAAGCACCTGGTTAAAGGAGTCTGGGGAGGTGGGCACAGAGAACAGGTCACACCCCAGAGTCTCCAACTCTGCTCCTTTCCTGCTATGAAACCCCAGACCCCAATTAATCGTGTCCACATCGATCCATTCAGTACCAGAGCTGAGACCCCTGGCCCTCACCCATCCCTACAACATGCGAGCATCCTACTACGTATGCTACACCCTAGTCCTCAATAGGCCTACAGTCGGCCTTTGACCACAGTGACCACCTCCCCCTGGAATGGCCCCGGAGCCCCAGAGGCTGCTCCCTAGGACTCTTTTCTAGAGACAGATTCCTCAGACCTGTTTCTGAGGGGATCTGCTTCTAGCTTTACAAGGGGTTTGTCTCTACAACTGAAGTTTCTTTCTGCTACCATCTTAGAGGGGAAAAATCTGCTTTGACTTGGAGGATTGTCTCTTCTTCCTCAGTCTCATTGGGACACCCCCTTTGTTGACGCTTCTGTCAGTAGAGAATCAGCAGGCAGGCTCCT